TACTTATGAGTTTCTTTGCTTTCTAGTCTCGAGCGACTGCAACACCATGCTTACTGGATTTGTCCTATTCTGTCCCAATAAAAGTTGTAGACAACACTCAATCTTGGCGCTTGGATTCATCTTGTGTAAGACCCAATCAGTCGGACTTACGACAGACGGAACATTTTATCCTTATAGATGGAGGGGATGCCTTCTGTCAGGAATAGTGTTCCTAGATCTTTGTTAGTGCACATACTCCAACCCAAAGCCCGATTTTGTTTCTAAGAATGCCCCTTGTCCCACTTGACTGCCTGCCGCAGGCTTCTTCGGACGCTGTGACACGAATCCTATTCAGCCACTTATAGAGATCGACGGAAATGTAGTACCGGCGAGGTCCTAAGTCCCCTTGGACCTTTAGTTCAAAGTCTAGTAGTGCGGCGACTGTGGTGGATAAAGCCTTACGAAATGGTGGACAGCAGTCGCCATGTGCTATGCCCGGAGACATTTTAATAGGTAACTATTCACCCAATTGAGGCCCAGCAATGCCTAGAGATATTATCGCTGCTGACCTGTGACTGTCCATTCTTCAGACTAGAGTGTCTGCCTGTTTTGTATTAAGCCTTTGTTGAAAGCCGTTCTATTCTTCGTAATCTATGGCGCACCGGGTAGCCCAAATCTTGACTTCGAGGTCAGTCGCTTCATCCCGAAAGTGCTATCGTCTCGAATTCGTCATTTCATCCATTATTTACTCGTTTATATACCACGAACTCCGAAGTTCCCTTCGCTGTGTGCGTTTTCGGCCCGCGTTTAACTGTATGAAATGTGGTAGAGGCCTTCTAGTATGAATCTCTCGGTATTCCACCTGCCGTACTCGACCGGCACAGGCGACCATGTTCACCGCTGTCCCGAAACAGTTTGACTGACCGTTCTGACCCATGTGGACTTTCAACGCCCTGACAAATGACCGCATTTGATTTCGTTCAGGCTCTAGATATTTCAGCTCAAGAAAATTGTAAACAATCGTCGAAAATTACTGTGGCATTGTTTGTAGGCGACCGAAATTTTGTTTTTTTCCGATCTTACCCAAGTAGCCGCATTAACTTCTGATACCGGGTCAATAATGCTGTGTTCGTTAGTAACAGTCTGTTCCTTTTAACATCTTCGTGTTGTCATCAGTCTCCTTTTTGAGACAGAGGCCATTTTCAACTATCTCTGATTTCTTGTCCTCAGTTTCTGACAGTTTATCTTGCTTTCTGTGCACCTCTTGTTTTTGCTATTTGCAAAAAAGCGACTCCAGATACGTCATACATCTTCTCTGACCGCTTGTCAGTGAACATCCGGACTTACGCTTTCCCGGAATGAACACTGATTACATGCTGCGACAGAGTTAATGGACGAGGCTATTTCGTTGGCTGGTTATTTCTCCCAGCCGTGGAAGTCGCTTGCAGTTTAACAGTTTGCATCTTACCGGCGGTCTAAGTGTTGAGGAAACGGTACTCCTCCACTCTAGTCAGTCAGTCCGCCTGCTGTCCTATGCGCACACTCTCTGCCAGTACTTTTTGCTTATTCGTTTTCGCACCGTTATTCCTCCGAAGTTGGCTAGTTGGTTTTGTTCCATAATACAGAATAATTATGCCAAGGTCTTTTTCCGTACAGAAAACGTCAGGAGACATGACTACTCCAGATCCGAAATTAGTTGAAAAACTGAAGAATAGGATTGACAATGCTGCCGTTCTTGTCTTCAGCCAATCTACATGTCCCTTCTGCATTAAGGTGAATCCTCTAACCTCATTGCCTCTTGCTCATGCCTTTAAAAACCAGTATACCTGAGTGCTATCTTTGTAGGTCAAAAAACGTTTCACTGACTTGAAGATTCCATTCGGCTACTTGGATTTGGATCTAAAAGGTAGGTAGAAATGTGCATTGTTGTTCATGCTGAACCTCTGTTTAGCAACTGGATCGGAAATCAAGAAGGCATTAAAGGCAATCTCTGGCAGCCACACTGTTCCCCAGGTCTTCTTCCGTGGAAAGTTTATGGGTGAGTCTCTCTTCACCTTAACTATGCACATTTTAAACTTTTCCTGTAGACCACGGCCTAATGCCAGTTGGGAGTTAACCTCTGGAGGTTTTGTATATTTTTGAGGCTTCATTTGCACCTTTAGTCAGCATTTATTTCGGCAGGAGTTTCCTTGGTAGTGGCAGAATAAAACTGCATGTTTCCAGGTTTGTCGACAACGATTCGAGCTCGAATTGAGCACAATTAGGGTTAAGGTAAGGGTTAGAGGTTAGGGCAAGGGTTAGGGTTAGAGTTAGCGGTTAGGATTAGGGTTAGGTTCAGGTTGGGATAGTGATATCGTATGTAAACAGCCCGATATTTCTGTGTAATATTACAAAAAAGTCTTCAAAAAAGCCCATTATTACTGGGTTTTTGGACAAAGTAATTTTTCGGAATAAAACTCCACGTTTCCAGGTTTGTCAACAGCGATTCGAGCTCGACTCGAGCACGATTAGGGTTAGGGTAAGGGTAAGGATTAGGGGTTAAGATTAGAGTTATAGTTAGGGTTTGACGTTAGGATTAGGGTAAGGGTTAGGTTATGGTTAGGTTCAGGTTGGGATAGTGATATCGGATGTAAACAGCCCGATGTTTCTGTTTAGTATTACAAAAAGTCTTCAGAAAAGCCCATTATTGCTGGGTTTTGGGCAAAGTAATTTTTCGGAATAAAACCCCACATTTCCAGGTTTGTCGACAGCGATTCAAGCTCAATTCGAGCTCGATTTATTTTTCGCGCCTTTTTCGATTTATGCGCCCAATGCCGTCGACATATAGCCACCGCATTAAATTATTTCAACAAAATTTAACTTTTTTTTACTTATTTTCACAAAATCCTTTTTTGGTAAATCAGTTTTACCAACTCATAAAAGCCCCCTTCTCACGGTTACCGTGTGACAGAAACCTACGGCTTGCTGTATCCAAGATCACTACCAAGGAAACTCCTGCCTTTATTTTTTTTGCAAGGTGAACTTCACATGTTTACGAATAATGCATCATCTTTATAACCTAGGTGGCTGCAGCGATGTGGAGAAGATAGTGGATGACGAATTGGTTGCGCTGTCACAGAAAATGGAATATGATTACGACCTGCTTGTTATCGGTGGTGGATCCGGTGGTCTGGCCCTCGCCAGGGTAAGTCGAACTTTTTCTGTGGTTTATGTCCTGACAACAGCCCAAACAAAACCACTGCGTCCTCACTGATGCTTTTTCCTTGTCTTCCTCTTTACTAATTGGCCGTTCTGCCTTTCTCCTGAAGTAGATTCTTGAATCGGGCCACTCCTTCAGCAGTTGTTTTCATTTACGCCTGGAAATGTACTTGCCTGCGTCCGTAAAGAGTCCTTTTCTTCCTCAGCAAAAACCAAGTGCTTTTTACTTGAAGCAGCTGCAGCAGAACGAAACCGCTATTTGAACTGTGATAAAGTACCTATATTCCTTACATCATCCCCAGAAGAGGAAGAAGAGGAGGCGACTTCTCAGA